TCATACATCACTGCCACTACCTAGTAACTCCATCGCATTGTCAAGCTACTTCTACCTAGCCATCCTACTTCGCTATTTTTTCTTCTTCTCGTCATCCTTAGCCTCATTTTTAATTATTTGTTGTTGGCTCTAGCCATCTTCATTCTCCATTTTTTTATTCTTACTGTTGCATGAGGTGCTTGACTTATTTTGTATTTTTTTCCCGAACAGCTCCTATCCAATTTAGAATTGTCGTGAGTTTTAACTAACCATCTTGATGGAATTATGTAACACTATAGCTAATTCTCATTTGTTCGGTCGATTAAATTTTTTGGCAACTTATTGTTCCGTTTTTCATGGTTCTTAATCTAGATTGACTTCTTTTTGCGGAAATAATTCAAGTTTCTTAATCGACATTTCTTCCATTTATTTTATATTTACTTTATAATTTGTTTGGGCGATTACATACATGGCAGCCAAAACATTGCTATTTACAAATTAAGCACCTTCTTTCATTTATTTTTTCAAATTCTCACTCAAATATCAAAGGTCATGATAAAGCCCTAACCCAGATTTTTCATTTTTATGAAATTCACAATGGTATGACCGGGGCACGTCTAAATGTATCGGTTTCATAATTTAAAGATCACTTTGCTGCTTGATTTATAAATATCAATGTTTCTTTTACTCGAAATGTATTCATCCCTTTTTTTTCACAACTTCCATTACAATTTAGATCTGTGACGAGTTTTAATTGTATTGAAGAAATTGCTTGATTGATGCTTTTGTTCTGACCTCCTCGGTCTGCAGAAAAAAACTTATCTAGCATGTTGTCCGATTTTGTTCATCTTTCTCAATCTAGTTCAATCATTTTTGGCAGGAATTTAACTCTCATAATATTGTTATTCTTCTCATTTGTGGTTCTTTGCAGGGCCTAGAAAGCGAGAATGTATTGGAATGCGATGCAAATGTAAATTATATCTCAAGGTTTGTTGTGTTTAAATTATACCTTTTATTTCACGTTTTTAGGATCTAATTGAATATTAACGACTATAATTATGTTTATTTTATTCCAGATATGCACCAGAAAAGCTTGAAAATCTTGCAGAGTTCATTGAGCACTTTTTCCTTGGCCTCCCTAGAATTTCAATTATTTGCATTAGCTTGCTTGATGGTGATTATGTAAACCTGCTTGGGGAGGAACTGATTCCCTCTTCTTTATTTCTGGCATGTTTGCTTATCACACGGTTTGATGGGAACAAACAACCGATTATTATGTGCTTGCCCGTTGATTCAATATCAGAAGGTATATGTGTTTGCTTAGCATAGAGTCAAATGGTAAAAATGTTAGGCACTTAGATACATAATGCTCAATTCATATGTATTCACATATCTAATATTTTAAAACTTTTTTTACTTACATTTATTCCACCCAAATTTTTCATATCACAAAAAAATACTACCGTTTTAATTTTTTAAAAAGGAGACACACCCTTTAATGTATAAGGTAGTGTGTATGTAGAAATTGAATTATATGCGTTAGAGATGCAAATATATAGGAATTGAGTGTTATGGATGTAAGTCTTCCAAAATGTTATGTCCCTTATAAAAATATGCTTATAAAATTTTTATTTTACCTGCTGCCAGAATTTCAGCCCATGTGTAGTCCATGCAAGGAGCTCAAACCTTGGCATTGTCCCTGGAGTAGTGCTGTGTTTGACGACGTGGCTCCCTCGTACAGGATCATTTTAGAAGCTAATTATTTGTCTTTCCGTACTGATGTCCATGATGAAGCTGGGTACATCAAGTGGTTGTCTGAAAGACAGAGTTATGACGATCAACTAAATAATTTATTGAAGTATGTTTAAGCAACATGCTACTTTCAAAATGTTTGGGATCACTTCTAATTTTTTTTTTTTTTTGTTTGTTTATGTTTTAATTTGAAACAAAACATATTTGATTAGTTGATTTAATTAAAGTTGTTTCTAAAAACACTTAGACATATTTCAAACTGATCAGTGTTTTGAATTGTTAATTTATTTTTTTAAGAAAATAATTACTAAAATTTGTTGAAAACACACTGAACAAATATTTTTATAAACAAAAGAGAAGAAAAAAGTGATCTCAAATAAGCCTTAAGTTTTTGGTTTATGTTCTTCAAAACTAAAATGATGCACAAATTGTTATTTATTTACCTTTTGACTTCTTTTTCTTCTGTTTTGACGCAGAGCAATGAATCATGAATGGATAGGATCATGGGAGTGCTTGCTCTTGGGCGAGGGATTGGATGCCAAATCTCTCAAAAATTTTGCTGAGAAATTGACAAATTCTTTGAATTCCCAATGTGATTTTATTTTCAATGATAATCTCATCAAAGTTATACTCAGTGGTGCTTCGTCTGTCCTTGATGCTGAAGCCTGCATTTTTCAATCACTACTTTTTAATGGATTCTTTGGCTGGGGAGGATGTTCTGGGATGCATAAAATCAAGACATTTGCTTACCATAATAAAAGAGTTAGGCCAATTCTCAAATCTATTAAGAGTTTGATTTCGAAAGCAGTTGGCGAGGGCATGAATGTTATCAGGCAACCAATTATTCTTGTTTTAGATTCTGATGTGCAGGTAATCACTTTCTTTTGATAGCGGATAAACGTTTTGGTTTAGTATTGAACTACCTATTGCACATTTCTATTCGGTGAAGATTGTCAGATTGATTCTCTGATTCTTTGCAAGAGGTCATTTTAGTCCCAAAGTTTATAAAAAGAATATTTACATATATACCACTCA